TGACCTGGTCTTGGGAGAAAAACCTGAAAAGGGCTGGTTCCCATGGAGGTGGGACGGGAGAGTAAACCAGCTCTTTGAATCTGGGCCTTTTTTGTTACTGATCTCAGTGGACTCAGAGAGGCAGCTTACCTGACCCACCAGGCCTTGGGACCACTCCCTGTGAGTGTCTGTGACTGATATCTGAGGTCACTAAGGATTTAGAATTGGAGTGTCATTCTAACATTTCAAACAGCTACCTTCAACTTGAGTATGGTGAATGGATTATCTGCATTACAGTTTCACCACAGAAAATCTTCCTTTTATTTCCTTTGACATTTTCATCCTTGGCACGTTTCTGACCATGTCAGTGTGGTTTGCAATGGGAGTTAGTAGGAGTCTGAGATTTGGGTTTTAAGAAATAAAACACATCTCGTGCTGTCCAGTATGATAACAACTAGCCATATGTGGCCATTTAAATTATAATTAATTATAATTATATTAGATTTAGTTCCTCAGTCACTCTACATACCTTATTTTTTACTTTTTTTTTTTAATTTCAGCATATTATGTGGTACAAATGTTTAGGTTACATATATTGCCTTTGCCCCTACCCCAGTCAGAGCTTCAAGCATGTCCGTCCCCCAGATAGTGCGCACCGCACCCATTAGATGTGATATACCCATCCCCATTTCTCCTCTCCCACCTGCCTGACACCCAGTGAATGTTACTACTACATGTGCACATAAGTGTTGATCAGTTAATACCAATTTGATAGTGAGTACATGTGGTGCTTATTTTTCCATTCTTGTGATACTTCACTTAGTAGAATGGGCTCCAGCTATATCTAGGATAATACAAGAGGTGCTAGATCACCATTGTTTTTTGTGGCTGAGTAGAACTCCATGGTATACATATACTACATTTCATTAATCCACTCATGTATTGATGGGCACTTGGGTTGTTTCCACATCTTTGCAATTGTGCTGCTATAAACATTCTAGTGCAGATATCTTTTTTTTTTTTTTTTTTTGAGACAGAGTCTCGCTTTGTTGCCCAGGCTAGAGTGAGTGCCGTGGCGTCAGCCTAGCTCACAGCAACCTCAAACTCCTGGCTCAAGCAATCCTCCTGCCTCAGCCTCCCAAGTAGCTGGGACTACAGGCATTCACCACCATGCCCGGCTAATTTTTTGTATATATTAGTTGGCCAATTAATTTCTTTCTATTTATAGTAGAGACGGGGTCTCGCTCTTGCTCAGGCTGGTTTCGAACTCCTGACCTTGAGCAATCCACCCGCCTCGGCCTCCCAAAGAGCTAGGATTACAGGCGTGAGCCACCACGCCCGGCCTCAGATATCTTTTTTATAGAATGTCTTTTGTTCCTTTGGGTAGATGCCCAGTAATGGGATTGCTGGATCAAATGGTAGTTTTACTTGTAGCTCTTTGAGGTATCTCCATATTACTTTCCACAGAGGTTATACTAGTTGGCAGTCCCACAAGGAGTCTATGAGTGTTCCTGTCTCTCCACATCCATATCAACATTTATTGTTTTGGGACTTTTTGATAAAAGCTTTTGAATGCTTATTAGCCACATGTGGGCTACTGTATTAGACTGTGTAGGGATGGAACATTTCTATCATCACAGAAACTTCTATTAGAAAATGCTGACTATAGATTTTTTTCTGCTCCAGAAGTCCCAAGCAAGACATTAAAAAAATAGTCTTTTCCTGAGGACTAAAAAAACTTACTCTATAACAGTTAGCTAGTGCTGGCATAACTCCCTAGGGAGAATGTTGGCATACTGTGGTGAGCATCCTGGTTCTTGTTCCCTGCAGTCTTCTGGGATCAGCAAGAGAACTTTTTTATCTTGTCATGGCGCTTCAAGAAGTGGCTTATACATTCTTTCCATATTATTATTTATTCTTTTATTATTTCATACCTCCTTATAATTGATACTTTTTTCACTTTAGGCCACGGTAAATTTGTATGTAGAGTATTATACGGTACTCTTTCCTCTGAGAGGAAAACCTGGGCTAAACCAGAGTCTAGAAAATTAGAATTTTTGCTCTCCAGAACAGTAATATCTTAGATCTAGTTAAGATTAAGTGCCGGTGTCTTTTATATGTTCATTAGCATATAATGTTTGAGTTGAACATGAGCTTAGCCATGATGTATTTTGATTCATTAAACCCTTACTTCTCTTTGGTTTCTTACAGTAGGGTCCTGCTTTTCTGGTATCCCTTGGTGACTATGGTGCTACTTCTTCATTGTTATGTATTCATACTTATTCATTCTTAGCTGTGGCCCGATATCTTGCTCCAAAGGCTCACATTTACCTTGTCTAGGTGCCAGCCATAGATTATGTTTGGATTTAAGAGTGGTTCCTGCTATAGATATATTATAGCTATTTGTTTGGAAAACACAGATTTTTTTTTCCAGGATGGCATCCACTCCCTAACCACAATAAAAAGTATTGTCTTGGCTTTAAGCATTTGACCAAATGTATTGTCTTGATTTTAAGCATTTGACCAAATTTCAAGGTCTCTCATCCTGGGATTTTGTTTTACCAGAAGCTTCTGGCAGGAGATAGGATGATCCAAGGAAGAGATATATGGAAGTCAAAGAACTGGTAGCTCTTTTCTTCGAGAATCATGGAATTTAATTCAGTGTTAAGCTCCTGAAAGGCAAGGGCAATATATTTTAGCGTATTACCTATATTTAACCTATAGTTGGGTGATTGATTAACTCTAGAGCAAGCATGTTCAGTGTGGTTTTTCGCTCTTATTTTTGTTAACATTTAAAGATGTTAATTGAATATTCTAGTCAATTGAACATTCTATTGAATTGAACATTTAAAGGTGTAAATTGAATATTCTATATCAAAATAAATTTTGCTAGTTTTGAACAATGAACTTATGGTATAACTTCCTTATTAATCATACTCATTGCTGCCAACAGTACTTTTTTAATTAGTCTGGGTTTTCTGGAGAAACAGACCAATAGGAAATACATATATAAAGGAGATTTATTATGGGAAGGCAGATAAGTTGAACAGGCTGTCATCTGCAAGCTGGAGGACAGGGAAAGTTAGTGATGTAATTCAATCTGAATCCTGACAACCTGGGGAGGCCTGACAACCAGGGGAGTGAGTTGTGCTAGTGGGGATGGGGACAACTTACTAGTGTTGTAAGTACCAGAGTCCAAAGAAATAAGAATCAGCAGATGTCCAACGGCAGGTGAAGATGGATGTCTCAGTTCTAGGAGAGCTAGTGAGTTCGCCCTTCCTCTGCCTTTTTGTCTATCTAGGCCCTCAATGGACTGGATGATGCCTGCCCACGTTGGTGAGGGCAGGTCGTCTTTACTCCATCTATTGATTCAAATGCTAGTCTCTTCCAGAGACACCCTCACAGACATACCCAGAAATAATGTTTTACCAGCTTTCTGGGTATCCTTTAATTCACTCAAGTTGACAATAAAATTAACCATCATAAGTCTACCCCTTGTCAACTTGGCACCCATACACATCTCTTTAAACCATGCTTAATCTCCGAATAAAGATAATAACTAGGTCATAATTCCACCTGACGTGCTGTAACTATCCTGTGTACAACTGAAAACACACTAATCCTTCCCCCAGAAAAAGGGGTAAAGTCTTTGAGTGATGTTTACTCCTTAGCTTAGATAATCCACTGTCATTCTCTAAGATCCGTCTGTCTTCTGCACAGGCCAGGTAGGAGAGTTGACTGGAGGATGTGGTGGGAATCACCACCCCTGTATCTTTCACATCCTTGAGGGTGGTACCAATCAGTGCATTTCCTCTAGGAGTGCAGTATTGCCTTTGATTCACCATTTTCCTAGGTAGAGGGAGTTCCAGTGGCTTCTATTTTGCCTTTCCCACCATGATATTTTGGTAGCACATAACTTGTTTGATTTTTATAGGCTCACAGCTATAGGGGAATTTGCCTCAGAACGAGACATACTTTGAGTCTGATGCATATCTGATTTAGATAATATTGAGATTAGACTTTGGATTTTAGTCTTTTGGGTTGATGCTGGACTTATGGGGCTACTGGGATGGAATGAATATATTTTGCATTTGAGGATATGAATTTTAGGGAGCCAGGGGCAGAATGCTATGGTCTGAATGTCTCCCCCAAATTTATATGTCAAATCTTAATCACCAAGATAATGGTATTAGAAGATGGGGTCTTTGGGAGGTAATTTGGCAGAGCCCTCATGAATGGGATTAGTGCACTTACCTTGCCCCTTCCGCCGTGTGAGAACATAGCAAGAAGGCACCATTCTGTGAATCAGAACTGTCACCAGACGTCAAATATGCTGGCTCTTCTATCTTGAATTTACCACCCTCTAGAACGATAAGAAATAAATTTGTTATAAAGCTACCCAGTCTAAGGTAGTTTGTTGTTACATCCCAAATAGACTAAGATACTTACTATGAATCTATTGATGATAGTTAATAGTTGTCATAATGAAGCCAAAATGAATGTAGATAGTGAGGCAACACTGATGAAATAGTTTTTCCCCTCTGATGCAAGGTAGGACTTGGGCCTTCTCTTTCTTTGCCTTTCCTTTGTCTCCTTCCACCCTACTGCACAGATTTGTTTAGCCCTATTTCTTCCATTAGCTGGTAAGGACTCCTGAGACTAGGAATAATGTGGGCTCTAGGATCCTGTATTGTGGTTGGTGTGGTACAGCAGAGTGCAGGATTTGGCAGACAGAGATCTGGATTTGAACTTGTCCTTGGGCCAGCGTTACCACTTCTTGTTTTGGGCAAGGTTTGATCCAGTTTCATCTTCCCTGACTATTTAGAGAGGTCTTGAAAAGATCAGAGGAGAAATAGTACATGGAATCACTTTACACAGTACTATAAAATGTAAGATATTACTATAAAATTATTATAAATTACCCATGTATATATATGAATTGATATTTATATTCATTGAATATATTTATATTCATTGAATATATATTCAAATATATATATATATACACTCATTGAATCATATATTTATACTCATTGAACCCTTTTATTGATTTATTCACTCAAGCCTTATGGCATTGGTGCAACTCAGAACAACTACAAAAATTCTAATGCAATATATGGTCAAAATGCATTTTAGTTGCCTGATGATACATTTTTTTTCTGTTTTGTTTTTTTTTTTTTTTTACATTTGAGTGACCAAACTGGTACCTCCTATTATTTTCAAGTAGTTTGAGACTAGAGTGTAGGACATTTTCCACTGAAGTACATTTGGTAGAATGTCCCCTGGGACTTCAGCTTGATGGAGCGATGTTGAACCGATACCTACTTCCTTGGTATATTTGCTTTCTGTGATGACTTGGTTGTACCTCTGTAAGAGTATAGAGAAGGCACCAAGTAGCACCAAAGGTGCAATTTATTTGTTCTTTTCCTTTTAGTTGATAGATCAGAATTATTTTTGTTGCAAGTAAGAGAAACTAAATTTAATTTAAGCAAAAAACATATATACCAGAAGAATACAGGGTAGCCCTTGTATCTGTAAGGAAAACTGGAAAGCACAGGTGGCTGTGGGGATTTAGGGCTTCAGGGACAAAGTCCTCTTCACCCGCTCAGGTCTGTGCTCAGCATCAGCACATTTCTGGCATGGTGGGGGTGGGGTGGGCATGACACCAAGAGTGCAAGTGGATTTGGGTCATTCCCTGTGAAAACAATCCCTGTATGCTAGGCATGAAAAAACAACAGATTTCAGCAGGATTCTCAGTTCTCTGAAACTAGAAGCAATTTAACATGCTTATTTGCCAGTGTGGGTTAAACCTCCTTTTCCTTTTTTTGCTAATGGAGGAGCAATAAAAGTGGAGAAAGATCAAAGAGGAAAGGATCATCATCAGATTGGGAAGCATTTTTCCTGCAAATACAACCTGGGAGTGGGCCTTGACACTCAGTAGCATCCCTGTATCATTTTCAAGAGCCGTGGATGGCTACCTAGGCTGCACTGTGTAACTCCAGTCACATAAAGTTCAGCATGAATGGTGCCCCTGGAGTTGCACAGAATCATAGTGTCTGCCTTTCCACATCTCTGTGCTTATGTCAGATTCTTTTCCCACTTCTCTAAAGTGTCTAGCATAGGTCTATAGAATTTCCAGTAAAACAACTAACCACTGTTTTGAATTAAAATGTTGATTTCTGCAGAAGCAAACTATTATATGACGTACCTTTAAAGTACTTCTTTTATGTTCTAATTTTAGCTCTGGCTCTTTATACAGTCTCCCTTACAAATACTGTTGATGCTTTTAAAAATGTATTTACATGTGAGCAAGGAGAGAGTGCTGTACCTTTTAATTTCTTTCCCTCTGTCTCTTACCCTGAAAGTGTGTTTTCAGGGAAGAGTAGGAAAAGTCTCTGGCTCTCCATTACAGACCAGCTATGTAGGTCACCCTCTTGTTATCTCACACAATTTAACCGAGACAGCTGGCCACAAGATTGTGGGATTTGTGTTGTGCTAAGGTCCTGAAGGGCTTGTTTGGGATGGCCAGGTATTAGAAGTGTGATTTGCAAGTTTAATTTGTCCAACACCTACATTCCTGTAGTGTTTATCATATGCTGCATAAAGTATGCAGAAAAATGGCAGGGCCTGTATTCTTTCCATGTCTCATTATCTCGACTATCTGTAACCTCATGCTTGTTCTACTTTTCCCAGTGTTCCAGACCAGACCTGGTGCCCCTGAATGTGATTAGGAGAAGCTGTTTATACTGTAAACTCTCCCACTAAACTTGACTCTTCTTGAGGATAGGAACAGGTCGTGTTTACATCAGTGCTGGCCACATACATAGAGGACATGTAGTCAAGATGTGTTTGGGCTCAATAGAGAAGCCACATGCACACTCAAGATTAATGAATGAGTGGTACTCCCTGTTCCAAAAGCAGGCTGTCACAGTGGGACCTGGTGGCTTCTTATCTTTAGTCATTACCACCCACCCATATCTCTGCCTCGGACTGAGACATTGTGGAGGGACTGTTGTTCCTATGTGACCTAAGAACATCTCCACTCCTCTCTGCTCTTATATTGTTAGGCAAAGCAGGATCCCTTGGCACTCGGTTGTTTCTTTTTTGCATTACTATTTGGTAGTTATATGATTTAAAATAGTGCAGAAAAAAGAAGTAAGGCTGTTTTTTGTTTTTTTTTTACCTGCTAGTGGGGAAAAGGTTTACCTACAGCTGGAGCATAGAACTTGGTTTCTAGGAGATACCCTTTCAATTTTTTTTGAGGAAGTACTGGAATTACAACATGTTTCAACCCACAAGCTGGTTTTTCTTATCTTTTTTTCCCTTTTCCCTTAAGAGTGAAAAAAAAAAAGCCCTAGGCAATAATAATGAAATCTTTTAAATTTGTGGCATGATTGGAAAATGTAATCACAGTGTGACATTCTGTTATTCTCTATTCATCTTTCTTTATGGAAAAAAAATAATTATGGTGGTTTTCACTGATAAAATTCCAAGGATCTAATGGTTTCCCATGACTTAAGTTAGATTTGAAGGTATTTTACCTAGAGATAATATCAGCTTCTCTCCAAAATTTAGAAATGATACCCTTGCCCAATATTATGTCACCATCCCCTGCCCCCACTTCCAAAAAAAAAAAAAAAAACCTAAAGGAAGGGGAAATTACATTTTTACTGTTGGTTGAAAATAGTTCAGAGTATCACTTGACTTTTGATGAAATCTGGAAAGTCACTTAACTCAAACTGTTCCATCTTCCCACACATTTCAAATGAATGCTACAAGGAAAATACCTCTGTAGAAGCAGAAGGGCTATTTTTAGATTGCACTCCTATATTTGGGTTTCATTAGTCAGATTCTTTTCCCTCAGGGACAGGGTCATATTTGTGTGTACTGTGTTTATTGGCTTTTTCTTATCCTCTTTACCCGGGACTACCTGGAGGCCAGCACACTCAGTAAACATGTTGGTTTATAATCTGAATAAATCATGTGTTTGTCTTGCCTACCTTTTCCCTCTGCCTTCCCCCAGTGTTGAAGATCAAAAGCTTATTTTGTTTTGAACTTACCTATGGTTTCAAATAATTGATTTCTCCTGGTTCCTAGTAGCAAGCCATGGGTAGAGTGAATACTCTGTTTTCATTTTTCCCTCCTGAGTTCTAAAACACCTCAATTTTCCCTCGTTTTTTTTAAAAAAGTTATATTTAGAAAATTTCAGAGAATTACTCTAATAAATTCCTTTTTAATGAGGTTTTAATTATGAATATTTGTAGCTTCGATTAGCCAGCAAGTATTCAAACCAGGAAGCATGTACTGGGCTGATTTTGAAGATTCCTCTCAGGATATTTCTTCAGTGTGTGCCATTTTGCCCAACCTGACACGTCAGCAGTGTAAGTTATTGATTTAATGTGTTTACCAAAGACACTCCTAGTCTTCATTGAAGAGGTGATGCTTTTTGTAGTTTGTTTTCCATTACATTTAGAGGAGATCTTCCTGAGGCCAGTGAATGATTTGGCTTTTGAGTTTTGTGAGTTGTGTCTCTGTGGTCCTAATAACTTCATCATGTAAGCATCTAACCCTAAGCATCCTGCTCTATAATGTAGCGTTATATGTCAGCCATTCAGTACTTTATCTTTATGACATACTGATATCTTTAAAAGCCTATAATGCCACCCTGATTTAGAAACTCACTTCACATGGCTCTTAAAGGGGGACAGACAGGTGTTAAACCAAGAATAAAACACATGCAAATAAGATTGAAAGGAAGACCCACATTTACTTGTAATCTGTCCTGGTTCTTTGTGTATTCATTCTACTCTTATTTTTTGTAGTAAATCCAGTAAAAAGATTTCTCCATTTGTTTACCTCATTAGAGATGGTCAACAGTATAATCTTAAGTTCTAAAACTTGGTAGGAGTAAATAAGCTGTGTAAAACCTGCTCAATTAAACTTCTTGGTTGAAATTAAATGGAAGGAGGCTTAAGCCCACCTTGTAGGTTAGCTTCTGTTTTTAGCAAGCCCTTAGAGACCCTTCAGTGGAGGCCTGGCACTGGGCAGTGGTTTCCATCGTGATGGGTGGCCATGGCTGTTTTTCTGTCTATAAATAACAGTTCACTGGGTTGAAATGAATGCCAAATAAGTTTCTCCCCCCACCACCCATTTTAATAGTAGAACGTTTGAGATAATGGAACATTGATAAGGGTAAATAAATATAGCACTGCCAATCTTACCAGCATTAACCTGTTGATTTTAACTAGTTGATTTTAAATTAACTAGTTGATTTTAAATTTAGGCCCACTATTAACTTTCTTACCTTTGTAAATGGAATTTCACCTGAGATGTAAACAAACCACATGACAAATTCATTATTTCTTTCTGTGAAATAATGTGTTGAAGATCAAAAGCTTATTTTGTTTTGAACTTACCTATGGTTTTAAATAATTTATTTCTCCTGGTTACTAATAGCAAGCCATGGGTAGAGTGAATACTCTGTTTTCATTTTTCCCTCCTGAGTTCTAAAACACCTCAATTTTCCTTCATTTTTTTTTAAAAAAGTTATATTTTGCAGATTTTGATAGAAAAGCAGATTTTGAGTGAGTGGCCTCTTTCCATTTTCTTACAAATGAGTCCCCTCAGGTGGCCATAGTAGAACTAGACTCACAGTGCCTTTGTCACCTGGAAGTCTGACTTGGGTAGCAGTCTACTGTAACTGGAAGCAAACACTGTCATGGTGGGTGGCACTTAGATGCCTTTTTCACGAGTTAGAGTCCCCTTACTCAGGGAGGCAGTGGTGTGCCACAGGGTAGCATGGAGCCTCTTCCTGGACCTGGGTTTCTTTCTATCCAACTAGAAACTTCTAAGTTATATGAATGTACAAAGCATTGTTCTATAGCATGTAGGATTCCTTCTATCCTCCTTATTGTCAGAATTAAAAGTTTTCATTGCTGAACATCTGTGCACTTGCTGTCAACATGTCTTTCGCTGCTTGAAATGTTGTAGAGGTTAAGATAGCTCAAATTCAAATACTTCATACTGACAGGTGATGTGAGCTTGGGAAGGAAAGTACTCTTTCACTTTGCATATTAAATCCATAAGAATATTCGTTTCTACTTGTCTCCCATTTTTCTTCAAAAGTGGCATACCATGTATTTTCCTACTTTTAAAAAATTAATATTTTTAATTGACAAATAATTGTATACATTTATGGGGTACAGTGTGATATTTTGATATATGTATATACTGTGGATGGATCAAATGATTAAATTAATGAACCCAAATCATCGAGTTTAAATGATTATATCAAGCTAATAGGTGGCACATAATTTTACATTTTCCTAGTTTTGATAGAAACATAAGCCCAAGAAATATTTTACTTTCTTCCTAATTCTTCTATATGGAAAAAAAAATACAAGTAATGATGAAAAATGGCAAATGACCCCTAACCTTGATCTTGAGAAGTTGCAGGAAGTAGAGGGCCATGGCAAACTGAGCATCAGATTGCTGCTGCTTGGGAATGAAAGTCCTGTGTTAATAGAATATCTAGCCATTTTGCAATTAATAAAACCACATTTAAAAAACATTTATTTCTAATTTTTAAGGAGAGCATTTCATCTAGTGGTTAAGAGTTTGGTTCTAAAGTCAGACAGCTAGGGTTCAAATCTCATTTGCACCATTTATTAGCTGTGCGACCTTAGCAGTACACTTAACCTTCGAGCCTTAGATCCTCACTGTAAAACAATGCCATTGATAAAAATTACATCACAGGCTTGCTGTGAGAACCTGATGAGGTAATCCAGTAGAATAACTCAGTGCCTAGCATATCGTATGTGCTTAACAAACTTCAGCTATTGTATTATTAGTCAACATGGAATAGGTTTGAGGATGCATGTCAGTGAACCACGGCAATGGACTAAGTGTTTGTGTCCCTCCAAAATACATATACTGATATCCTCATCCCAATGTGATGGTATTTGGAGATGGGGCCTTTAGAGTGAGCACATGTTGTAAATATACTATGTACTGAGAACTTAGTGAAGTATCCTCCAGCCTGAGGGGTTGGTACTACTTTACCCCTACTTTGCAGGGGAGGAAACAGCAAGTTAATTTTCCTCGGAAGCTTTGTGCTAGATTTCTCCGGCAGTGCTGCTGCTTAAAGGCTGGCACCTCAGCATACTTCTCAACATTGTTTTTCTATACCCTGTTCTAGTTTGATTATAAATATCCACGCCTGTCACCACACAGCGTTCACCAAGAGGAGAGCTTGTTCCGCATATGCATGCGTTGTTGAGTTTTAGTGAAGGCCAGTTGGATGCCATACCTCCAGGATACCTCGTGACTACTGATTCTTCCTAAATTTAGACTGGTCACTGAGACTCATGGTTCTATCAGAGCACATCTGTTTTGGCCTTTCTGCAGAATGTCCTTGACTTCCTTTATTCTTGGATCTAAAAGTGGAAAGTCTTATTTCTTTTCTGTATCTTTTCAGAGAGAGAGAAAAAAAATAAGAAATTGAAAAATTATAATAAAAAAATAAAAATGGAAAGTCATCTTTTTAGATTCATAAATCCCCTAAAAAATCAGAAGGGAAAGGGTATTAACATAAGGAGATTGATTTGGTGGTTTTTCATCAGCATGTTCTCTACCCTGAAACAGTCCTCCATTTAGTGTAGAGACAAGAAATAAACTAGATAGTATATCTCTATAGGCTTTAGAGGAATTTTGCATTTCCTCCAAACCAGCCCACTGCTTTGGAAGAGTTTTGGTGGAATACACATGCAGCTGGGGCAAAAGTGGAGGGGAGACAGACCTCACTTCATCGAATGAATAGCCTAGTAGACTTAGGAAAATAGGCTTAATTATGCTTAATAATGGGAAATTCCCTTTCTCTAAAAAACATCCCATTTAAAATAGTTACTTTATGGCTTTGTAATGAGAAGGGCTCTCAGTTCTTCTTCTTCTTCTTCTTCTTTTTTTTTTTTTTTAATAATTGCTTCCTTAGCAGAAACTGCCTTTAACAGAATATTCTTTCTTGAGCTGCTAGGCATTTGAAATTTCAGGTAATTTTCAGCAGATCAAAAGGAAGAAGTTGTAGCAGAATAATTAGTTTTCTATCAAGTAGTGTTTCTTTAAATAACCAAGGACCTGAAGATGGGAAATTATTAGAATTATGGTGCTGCACATTACTCATCACACACGGTCTGGCTCTTGCTAACCCCTTTGACCTGGCCTCATGCCTTTTTCTCTTACCCACTGTGTTTCAGGTACATTTGCTGCCTGTTTGTTTTTGAGCATGCCTAGCATTTCCTCCCCTCAAGCTTTTGATCTCTAGCTGGGGCAGTCTTTTCTTAGATTTTTTGCATGGCTGGCTTCTTTTCATCATTTAAATATCATTTCCAATGACATCTTCCCAGATGTTATCTTCATGACTTTGCATTTTCTAAAGAATCACTACTCCAAAATTCCTGGCCAATCTCTCTAAATATCCTTTTTTATCTGGGTGAAATTAGAGTAATTATATTTGTCTGTCTCCTCTCACTAGACTGTGTCCTCTGGGAAGACCTGGAGGATGGGAGCTGGAGGAGTGCTTGTCTGTCTAGTTCATTGCTGAGTCTCCAGCACCTAGAATAGTGCCCAAAGGTGTTCAATATATGTTTGTTCAGTGAATGAATTACTTGCAACGGACGCAGTTTTGAAAACGTCCTCAAACATCTCTTGTTTCATGTACTTATTGTATAGAGATCAGCAAACTTTTCTGTAAGGTGCAAGATAGTAAATGTTTTAGGCTTTGGGGGCTAAAAGATCTCTGTGACTACTGCTCAGAAAGCAACCATAGATAATATGTAAGCATGACCTGGCTGTGATCCAATAAAATTTATTTACAAAAACTGTTGGTGGGGGCAGGGGTGCCTTATTTAGCCCTTGGGCTGCAGTTTGCCCACCTCTAGAGTTGAGTGTCCATCAGTTTTAACCTGCACATTCTGAAATACATATGGAAAGGGTGTGGAACTTGAAGAGTAGCTGTCTTGATTAAAGCCTCAGTTCACTTGGTTTGCAACTAGAGAAATGGGAACATCTATTCCTGTTCTCTTAGAAGAGAACATGTAACGAAAACTATCTGTAGCATGATGATGATAGAAATGTTCCCAAAGAGAGACAGACCTTAGGTGGTGGAACACATATCAGAGACTGTTGTGAAAGAGAAATCGAGTACTGATTAAGCATTGTAGGATTGTGGAAATGCCAGAAGTATTTCTAAGAACCGAAAGTTGAAAAAGTTTATTTTGGCCACGCCTGGCCAAACTAAGCAATATAGGATTTAGTTTAGGCTAATGTGGAATAATTTATGTAAGCAGTGGAATTTAGGAAATGGAGTGATCTGAGATCATGGAGT